GATATTTGAGGTTTGAGGTTTAAAGTTTGAGAAGTGAGGCTTGAGACCCAAAAGTCAACGTTTAACGTCTAGAGTTTTACGGTTCATGCTTGAAGTATGCCACGGTCAGGTTTGGGGCATAGGGCAATATTCCTAAGTCTTAAAGTCTAGCACCTCGAACCCTGTTTTTCGGGTCTAAGGCTTGTGGACTGGCGTATTGGTTCTAAATCCTGAAGTCAGGAACGTGAGAGTCGAGTCTGAAATTACAAGGCTCAAATATCTACATTTAAGGTTAGATTTACGTGGTTTGCTGCTTGAAATTTTAAATTTGAGGTTTGAAGTGGTAGTTAACTCATAGCATGGTTTTTGTAAGCACTATAAGTAGTGTTCTAATTAGCAGCCCGGTGTGGGATTCAAGAGTCAAAATTTAAAATATTTAAAACTTGGAGTTTCGAGTTTAAATGTTAAGTTAGAGGTCATAGCTTAAATGTTTGAGGTTATAGATTTGAGGTTATAGCTTTGAGGTTATACGTTTGAGGTTATAGGTTTGAGGTAATAGGTTTGAGGTTATAGGTTTAGGTTATAGGTTGGGGGTTATAGGATTGAGGTTATAGGTTTGAGGTTAGAGTTTGTACTAACACGCCTTCGACTCGCTCGGCACTTTTGCCTACCTGCGACCTAGACAGAGTAAAGTTTTGATGGAGTAAGTCAGACCTCTACTCTACCTATGCATACCTTTGGCTCGATGGGCATTGAAATATGCGTGTTATTACTCCATCAGACCTTTACTCTGTCTAGGTGTGTGCCGAACTCGCCTTCGGTGTACTCGGCTTTAAAGGTTCGGAAAGTCTGAAAAGATTCGAGGCATGAGGCCCAAGATTAGGCCAAGACCAAATGTCAGGTTCATGTTCAAACTTTGAGATTTAAGGTGTGTGTGGTTGAAGGATGAATCTTGTCGCTTGTGTCGTAACGCGTGACGACTGGAGCGTGTATCCTACAGCCCGAGGTGAGAAGGTGTGGGCTTTTGAGATTAAAAATTAAGGCTTGAAGCAAGAGATACAATGTTGGAGATTAAAGGTATGGAGGTATGATCCTGAATTGTTAGAATTTGTTGTTCAAATTTTTGTGAGTACTTTATACAGTTTCGTCATTAAATCAATTGAAGTTCCTTTGACGTCAGCAGTAGTTTTAACTTTTCAAAAGTTCCTCGAAAGCTTGAAATATCTCGGGTCTGATCGGCCTAGAAATCTGGCAAGTGGGAAAAAAAGGGCATACACTTTTGGTTCGATGCATAAGCTTAGAATTCGAAGTAAAATGCGAAGCATAGAAGTGTTTCGTGAGACCTGAAGCCTGAACCTAAAAGTTTGTAACTCTTGGAAGTTGGGGGGGTCCTCGCCGGGATAATAAAATATCGGGCTTTGTTTTACCGTAAATTACTGAAACATTAAAGTCTCGATTAAAAGGGCCTGTAGATGAATTCATTGCAATTAATTGCAGATGACATGGTTCGCTGACACGTAACCGCCAATTAAGTCCTAGAACGCAAACGCCCACTGCTAATTACGACCGTGTATACCTCCATCGTTTTGTCTTGTAATTGGCATATCTTTAAAGAGCAAATGAATGAGTTAAGATAGATCAAAAAATCCATACGGAGCCAAAACGTGTCTGATACTGAGCATCGCACATCCATACTAGTTTGTTACATTCAGGTAAATCAATATTAAAGTGGAACCGACGCGATATTAATGACGAAAATAATTGAGCATTTCTCACGTAATCCGCGCTGGTGGAATTAATATTATTCATTGATGAGGCTATATACCTCCATTCGCGTAATGATGTAAATTGGTTTGACATTTTCTAATCCGGAGTTACTACAAATAGAAGCTGATTAAGCGTCGAATTATATAGTAGATGATTAGGGGCGCGTTTGTATTTAATGGACTATAGACGCTGGGACAGCCGAAATGATTTTAGTGCCGTGAAGGTTTTCTTGATAGTCAACAAGCTAGGGGTACGTGCCGGAACGAAAACGTCAATCACTCACACAGCGTTCGTGTTTTTCGTGCCACCTACCAGACGCATTTTTAACGAAGATAAATCTGAACGTGACCCACAAAATTGGACTCGCTCATCCGTAATCCATCGAGTGATCATTACTGAACCGTCTTTCGCAATTATCCGCACCCGAAATGAGGTTATGTTGGTTGGAGGTTTCTGTGCGTCGACATCACGAGGCTTGACGTTCTAGGTTTGAGGCGTGAAGCCTGAAATGAGGCCTGGACATTACTGAGGTATTCTGACATCCTTGGAGTTCCTATTTTCTCGATGGTTTTAAAGTTTTTGACGTTCTTCGCACTTTTTACCTCTTTGAGGTTTTTTAGATCCCTGGGATTAGTGAAACCTTTGAGGTTCTGAAGGGTTTTAAAATCACTGGAGTTCTAGGTTATTAAGTATCAGAATTTTTTTGAAGTTCATGCGATTTTTGGGCTACTTAAAGTTGTCGAATTACTTATATCTTTGGAGGGGGTTTTCAGGTACTACGTTTCTAAGGTTTCTGAAGTTGCCAGGGTTTGGCGTCTTGCATTCTTGTTCACCTTCTCCAATATTCTTGAAGTTCCTGGGGTCCTTAAAGCATTTAAGCTGTTGAAGTATTATTTTTTAACGTACTGGTGTTTTTCAGGTTTTTGGGGTTCGTCATTTTCTCGGGGGTTTTGAAGTTTCTCACATTCTAGCCTTCCACACTTTCTCAAAGTTCCTAAGATTCTTAGGGCTATTAAAGCCTTTGGGGTTGATTTAATTGAAAATCTCGAGGTCGTTACCGGTCTACAAATGCTTCAGGTTCCAAGGTTTTTAAATTACTGAGGCTCATAGGCACTTGAAAATTTCCGAGATTATTGAGGTTCTTGACTTTCTTGATGTTTATTATCCTGGTGGTGTCCTTAAAGCACTTAAGTTGTAGAAATAGTCATATTTTTGAAAAACCTGAGGTTTTTCAGTTTTTTTGTTTCTATTTTTTTGGGGATTTTGAAATTTTTGACGTTCTGGCGATTTATACTTTCTTAAAGTTCGTGGGACTCTTGGAACTATTAAAGCCCTTAAGACTCATGCGATTTTTGGGGTTCTTTAGGTTTCTAAATTTCCTAGGCTACTCGGCCTCCTAGGTGTTTCTTTATGTTTTTCCTAACGTTACTGGCTTATGTGGTGTCCGTGTCCTTGAGGTTCCAAAGGCACGCAGTTCTTAGCAGAGCATAGAGCATTTCTAGTTTTAGAGACCTTAGGTTTTTAAGGTTTGCAAGATTATGGAGATCTTGAAATTCTGGATGGTCTCAAACGTCCTTGCGTGCTTACAATGAGCATAAAATGAAGAATTTGAGATTTGTGAAGCTCTTGGCTCTTAGAGTACTTGTACCTTATTCTTCAATTTCTTCAAATTTGTAAGTCATAAACTACTTAGCGTTCCATATAGTGTTAAAGGTCTCTAAATTATAATATTTTGGGCTACTAAGTTTCCTTTGGTTCTTAACAATTTTTGTCGTTTCTTGTGTTTGAGACCTATAAAAATTATCGTAAGGATGGACCTGAAGATCCTTAGGTTTTTACAGGTCTCAATTTATTTCAATCAGTCCGTGAAGTTCTTGATCATTTGTAGGTTTTGAGATCAGTCAAATTTTTTAGCATTTTGGGTATGTTTTGAATTTCTTTATGATCCTGTGATTTTTGAATTTGTTTTTGTGGTTGTTGATTGCTTTGAGGATCTGAAGCTCTTGGGATCTTATGAAGCTCTTGACGCTCATCAAGCTCTTGAATCTCATAAACGTCACGAAGTTCTTGAAGCTCCTGAAGTTCTTGAAGATCTTGAAGCTCTTGAAATCCTTGAAGCTCTTGAAGCTCTTGAAACTCTTAAAGCACTTGAAGCTTTTGAAGTTCTTGAAGCTTTTGAAGATCTTGAAGCTCTTGATGCTCTTGAAGCACTTGAAGCTCTTGAAGTTCTTGGAGCTTTTGAAGCTCTTGAAGCTCTTGAAGCTATTGAAGCTCCTGAAGCTCCTGAAGCTTTTGAAGCTCTTGACACTCTTGAGGTTCTTGAATTTCTTGCAGCTCGTGAAGCTCATAACGCTCTTGAAGCTATTGGAGCTCTTGGAGCTCTTGAAGCTTTTGAAGTTCTTGAAGCTCTTCGAAAGCTGGAGTAGTCGTTTTTTGGTAAAAAGAGGAAGGTTATACACTTGCTTTTTTTGAGGCTTGAAAAAAAAATTGTCTGAGATCGACCGGGAAAAAGCATTTGCTTATAGAACTTGGTAGAATCCATAATTTCAAACAGTTTGAAGATTGGGCTACTAGATCAAAAGTTACAGCCCTTTGAACTTTCTTTCGAAATTGGTTTCTAGTCCATCACTTTTGATTGAGAAGTCTAATCGAAAAAGTACGAATCGTTTTGGATTCTCTACCCTTTGAACTTTCTTTCGAAATTGGTTTCTAGTCCATCACTTTTGATTGAGAAGTCTAATCGAAAAAGTACGAATCGTTTTGGATTCTACGCACCAAAATTAATAAGAAAAAGTGTTTTCCCGAGAGATTTTGGTGTGGTCGATTTTTGGTAAAAAGGGAAGGTTATACACTTGCCTTTTTTGAGGCCGTGAAAAAAAATTGTCTGAGATCGACCGAAAAAAAACTTTTTCTTATAGAATATGGCCTGTAGAATCCATAATTTCAAACAGTTTGGAGATTGGGCTACTAGATCAAAAGTTACAGCCCTTTGAACTTTCTTTCGAAATTGGTTTCTAGTCCATCACTTTTGATTGAGAAAAAGTACGAATTGTTTTGGATTATACGCACCACAATTAATAAGAAAAAGTGTTTTCCCGAGAAATTTTGGTGTAGTCGATCTTTGGTAAAAAAAAAGGAAAGTTATACACTTGCTCTTGAAGCTCTTGAAGCTCTTGAAGCTCTCGAAGCTTTTGAAACTCGTGAAGCTCTTGAAGCTCCTGACACTCTTGAAGCTCTTGAAGTTCTTGAAGCTCTCAAAGCTTTTGAAGCTCCTGAAGCTCTTGAAGCTCCTGACACTCTTGAAGTTCTTGAAGCTCTTGAAGCTCTTGAAGCTCTTGAAGTTCTTGAAGCTCTTGAAACTCTTGAAGCTCTTGACGTTCTTGAAGCTCTTGAAGCTCTTGGAGTTCTTGAATCTCTTGAAGCTCTTGAAGCTGTTGAAGCTCTTCGAAAGCTCTCGTAGTCGAAATGAGCATGGACATTCGAAGTATGGAAGTTCCTTGTTGAAGGTAATAGTTAAGGAGCGAGGTTTTTCTAGATTCATGAAATGTGACCTTCATATCCAGAAATCCCTGACTTCGGTACCTGCGCAAAACGGTCGAAGTCGAAGCCGCATATTTTGCCTTTAGATGTAAGCTAAGCTGCCTAACTACCCTTAGGGGTATATCACCAAAAACTAAATCGTGTTGAGAAGAACGTTACAAATTCCATCCCTTACGACAGTTGCGAGTGGTCTGCGTAGCGAGTATTTCTCGAAATCAAAGTGACTTTATTGCGAATCGAGACCAACCGCTCGAGCTGAAAGAATTTATAAAACGAAAGTGGTTCGCGAGATCAAAGCGGACGAAATTGCCGACTCGCAAGAACAGGAAAATTAGCTAAAGTCGAAACGTAACCTCAATTTAACACCGAAGTGGATACTTTAAATAACTTTCCGACAAACGCCGCCATTCCCAGCGGACCAATTTCTACTCGACAACGTTCAAATTGACTTTTCGGATGCGAAATTAGCAGATGTACTTGGGATAACAATTTAAAAGTTTCCGCCGGACTTATTGTACAAATAAGCAAGTTTTTTAAAGTGAGGTGATGTATGGCCTACTTTGCGCTATAAGCCGGCCTTATTCCCAAGTTTTTGGCATTGTTCCCACTATCGATTACTGCAAATAAAAAAAGGAGGAGATTTATGTCGAATCGTTACATTTAAAATTCAATTCCTTAATATAATTTTCCATGGTTGGCTATTTTCCGTGCCAAAGCGGTCTTGTATCGATGATAAATCGTCTCTTTCCATTCAGACAGTTAAAAAGCGAAATTAAGCATCGCAAATCTAATAAAGATATATTGCGAGACACTAATTGTAAACAGTGTTTTATGAAAATCAAGATTAACGACGTTTTTTTTAAAGGGTGGAACCTGTCACTTTAACCCGCTGTATAATTTATCTGTTGCGCTGCTTCCTTTCGATTGTAATCGCGAGACGCGTTACTTTTAATTGAGGTTATATCGCTGACAGCCCCCATAATTAATCTCAATGAATTATTGCGATACGCGCTTTGCCAAATGATTGTGCCGAGATAATGGCCTGTTCTTTCTGTTTTTTTTTTCTTAGAGCGGAGATGTTTCTAATCTTTCCCTTGTCTCGGAAACGAAAGAGATAGTGGCTTATTTGTAGGTTAGGTGCGATTCTAAATGTCAAATTTTCGTATTATCACGTTACAACTAACCTCTACGGATGTGCTATGTTTTATTCTCTTTTAGTATCTAGACCACCACGTGCTAGGGATTATCAAGCTGTTCTTAAAATTAATGGAGTACGTTGCAGGCGACCCCCATATAAATACAATAAGTAAAAGTAACCGTTATCTTAATTAAACGTGCTCGAGTTTTCCAAGTTGATCCAAAAACAAACGTTGCACCTACTGATCCTGATCGCTAAAGGTTCATCAAGAACTTTACGAGAATCTTAACCATTCTAACAACTCCAAGGAACAAAAACTTCCGGAAAATCAAGTGCCTCAAGCATACTCAAGTACAGCAGGATCAGGATTCCCAAAAACCTCCACAAGTTCTTAACTTAAAATTGTACACATCGATTTTCCAAAATTTCAGAAACACTAAAACAGCAACTTCAAGACCTTCAAGAGCTTCGAGAGCTTCGAGAGCTTCGAGAGTTTCGAGAGCTTCAAGAGCTTCAAGAGCTTCAAGAGTTTCAAGAGTTTCAAGAGTTTCAAGAGCTTCAAAAGATTCAAGAGCTTCAAAAGCTTCAAGAGCTTCAAATGCTTCAAGAGCTTCCAGAAATTAAAAAACTTCAAGATCTGCAAGAGCTTCAGAGCTTCGAGAGTCTCAAAAAGCTTCAAAGAATTAAAGAGCTTCATCAGATTCACGAGGTTCAAGATATCAAAAAATTTTGACCTCAAAAAGCAAAAAAAAAACAAAAATTGCATGAACATAATATGATACTCTAAGAGTTTCAAATCTGTCAACGGTCCCAAGAATCCTAGAAACTTCCAGAACCGGAAAACTCAGGTCTATAATGCATAAACGATCCCAGAAACCTGAAAAATACCAGGACCTTTGAGAATGTTATTACTTCAACAGCTCTAAGGACCCCCATCAGTAATCCCCGAAATTTCAAAAACTTCGGGTGCTTGTGAGCCTCAGTAATTTATAAACCTTGGAACCTAAGAAACCTCAAGCATCTTAGGACTACAACAGCTTAAAGAGCTTCAAAAGCTTCATGAGCTTCAAATGATTCAAGAGCTTCAAAAGTTTCAAGAGCTTCAAGAGCTTCAAGAGCATCAAGAGCTTCAAGAGCTTCAAGGGCTTCAAGAGCTTTAAGAACTTCAAGAGCTTCAAGAGCTTCAAGTGCTTCCAGAGCTTCAAGAGCTTCAAGACGTTCAAGAAATTAAAAAACTTCAAGAACTTCAAGAGCTTCAGAGCTTCGAGCGTCTCAAAAAGCTTCAAAGACTTAAAGAGCTTCATCAGATTCACGAGGTTCAAGATATCAAAAAATTGTAAGGACCTCAAAAAACAAAAATTGCATGAACATAAGATGAAACTCTAAGAGTTTCAAAACTGTCAACGGTCCCAAGAATCCTAGAAACTTCCAGAATCGGAAAACTCGGGTCTATAATGCATAAATGACCCCAGAAACCTGAAAAATACCAGGACCTTTGAGAATGTTACTACTTCAAGAGCCCTAATTTTAAAAACTTCGGGTGCTTGTGAGTCTCAGTAATTTATAACCCTTGGAACCTAAGCGACCTCAAGCATCTTAAGACTATAAGAGCTTCAAGAGCTTAAAGAGCTTCAAGAGCTTCAAGAACTTCAAGAGCTTCAAGAGCTTCAAGAGCTTCAAGAGCTTTAAGAGCTTCAAGAGCTTTAAGAGCTTCAAGAACTTCAAGAGCTTCAAGAGCTTCAAGACGTTCAAGAAATTAAAAAACTTCAAGATCTTCAAGAGCTTCAGAGCTTCGAGCGTCTCAAAAAGCTTCCAAGACTTAAAGAGTTTCATCAGATTCACGAGGTTCAAGATATCAAAAAATTGTAAGGACCTCAAAAAACAAAAATTGCATGAACATAAGATGAAACTCTAAGAGTTTCAAAACTGTCCACGGTCCCAAGAATCCTAGAAACTTCCAGAATCGGAAAACACGGGTCTATAATGCATAAATGACCCCAGAAACCTGAAAAATACCAGGACCTTTGAGAATGTTACTACTTCAACAGCCCTAATTTTAAAAACTTCGGGTACTTGTGAGTCTCAGTAATTTATAACCCTTGGAACCTAAGCGACCTCAAGCATCTTAAGACTATAAGAGCTTCAAGAGCTTAAAGAGCTTCAAGAGCTTCAAGAGCTTCAAGAGCTTCAAGAGCTTCAAGAGCTTCAAGAGCTTCAAGAGCTTCAAGAGCTTCAAGGGCTTCCAGAGCTTTAAGAGCTTCAAGAGCTTCAAGAGCTTCAAGAGCTTCAAGAGCTTCAAATGTTTCAAGAGCTCCCAGAGGTTCAAGATGTTCAAAAACTTCAAGAGCGTTAGAGCCTCGAAATTCTCAAAAAACATGACAGGCTTTAAGAGCTTCATCAGATTCACGAGCTTCAGGTTCATTCTAACAACTCCAAGGAACAAAAACTTCCGGAAAATTAAGTGCGTCAAGCATTTCAAGGACAGCAAAGAATCGAACTTCCAAAAACCTCCACAAAATCTTAACTTAAAATTGTTCACATCGATTTTCCAAAATTTCAGAAACACTAAAACAACAGCAACTACCTTATGCAAATAAGGAATATAAAAAATTCGGCCTCTTCAAAGCTTCAAGAGTTTCAGGAGCTTCAAGAGCTTCAAGAGCTTCAAGAGCTTCTCAAGAGCTTCAAGAGCTTCAAGAGCTTAATGAAAAAACGGGAAGAGCGCCAGAACGTTTTCCCTTAGGTAGTAGATAGCGTTAGTTAATATGTGCTTCCCTTCCCGCGGTGATTCATTTCTGACGTGGGCCCACTAAATAATTGAGAATTATCCAATTTTAAAGTGTTTTGGTGTTATACGGTTTTTACGGCCATAAATCCTCATAGTGTATATAGGTCAGCCCTAAACAGAATTCGGTTATGCGACTAAAAAGCAACAAAGGAAAGAACTTACGTGTCGAACGTGTCTAATGGTTTAATTTGGTTCAGAAGGAATGGATATTTTGATTGTAAGTCGGTCAATAAAAATAAAGTAAATGTGCAAAATTGTTTGGCACTGTTAAAGAAGTTCGAATCTCACAGTACTGCAAGGTAAATTCTTTTCATTTAACATTCATTAATTGAATTGAGTAAATAGTAATTTGCACTTAGCATTTCTAATTGCATAAATGCGACTGTTGACTTAATTATTAGAGTTAAGGTTCACTCAATTTTGCGTTGCACTTTATTATTATTAATTAAAATTTAGCCCTTGCGAAATTATGCGTCCCGTCAACGTCAATTATTTGAAATTGAAATTAAGTTTGGCCAAATATGCGAGCAGCTAACGTAAATTATATTAGATTTAGAGGAAATGATTATTTCCTTTTTGTAGTTTGTAGTTTACATCATCCTATCATGAAGTATGGAGTATTTCAAAAAAATATGTGCTGGTTTCGGGTAATTGTAAAAAGTTGTGCTGCAGGTGTCAGTAAGCCAGAAATGCTCCTTAAATTTTGGTTCTGAAAACCGCAGGGCTATTTCTTTGCAGCTGCCAGTGTGCCCAGAATTGAGCCTTAAACTTTGGGTCACTAAATCGCACGACATTATAACACGTGTTTCCGTGGCCAATCGGTCTTGAGTACCTTCACTTATTCCTGCGCTCATGGTAGACCGAACGGGTCAGTCGATGAAAAAGAAGTGAGTATACCCCATCATATCCCACTTCACACTAAAACTGCATACCAAACCAATAAAATCTAACATAAAGGAATGAGAGTTGGTGGTTTGCGTGTTCCCCCTCTCTCTCCCTTGCTGTGTTTCCTGCATTTTTCTTGGGCATCAAATCTGAAAACTGACTACCTCTTCTCGTCATACTCCCTATATTGAGAGCTTCTATCTTCGTTAATGTCGCGCTCGCTCCTGACGG